TTTAAAGTGCACCTACACCCAAAAAATTTTTTTCGCTTAACGAAGTAAGCTTATTTTTTTGAGTATTTCTGCGCAAAAATTTTTTTATTTGCTCAAATCTTCAATTTTCTATGCCCAGTCAAAATACGGAAAATCGGCCGCCATCTTGCCCCACGACCGAGTTTAAAGAGGAATGGCTCTAGTGGGTAATGTGACGTCAAATCGAGAACACGAAAGTCTGCTTTTCACACATTTTCACTTGTTTGGGAAGGTTGTAGTCGATAATTGTCCGAAAATATGCCGACTAAGTGTGTTGTAGAAGGATGTAGCAACGTGCGAAATTTGCAAGAGGGTATCGCGCTCCATACAATCTTCATACAACACACCTAGTCGGCATATTTCGGACGATATCGACGACAATCTTCCCAAACAAGTGAAAATGTGTGAGATGCAGACTTTCGTGTTCTCGATTTGACGTCACATTACCCGCTAGAGCCATTCTTCTTTAAACTCGGTCGTGGGGCAAGATGGCGGCCGATTTTCCATATTTTGACTGGGCATAGAAAATTGAAGATTTGAGCAAATAAAAAAATTTTTGCGCAGAAATACTCAAAAAAATAAGCTTACTTCGTTAAGCGAAAAAAATTTTTTGGGTGTAGGTGCACTTTAACACAGCGGTCAAACGTGTGAGCAATCCCAAACGTTGTAATGACTAGCCAAGTTGTCGCACGAGTTAAAAGGAACCACATTAGTCATTAAGTCACGGTGTTTCAAAAGCGTAGGACAGGTTCTGACTGAATAAGCTTTGTGTCAGAATAGTCTCGGGTTTTCCTCCGTCTTACCTTTCGTACACTGGGATCTTCTCGGAATTGGAACTCATTTGTCCCTTCGTCGAAAAGTTTGCTGTTTGCATCTCTAAGCGCTTTGTGCAGATAGGTTCTAGCACCTGCCTCAGGGGGATCTAGCTTACCCAATTTATCAATAACCGATTTTTCATTTGTACCATCTTTGAATCCAAATTCTACTGCGGATTCCTCGCCCAACTTGATCACTGCAAGATGGGTTCCATCGGACGATATGTTCACCCTACTCGCGACTCCCTGGGCAAACCTCAGAACATCATTCCAATAGGGCGTGATGCTACCAGATGCGTCCATGATGTAAGCAAGGTCAAGAATACAGGGGTCATCCAATTGCTCTGTTTGAATAAAAAAAAAACAAATGCATTAAAATTAAACATTTACACACCAACAATAGTATGTATAATATGCATACTGTTCTCCATACATTCACGGAGGTGCTAACAGGAAAATGTGTTAAAACATTGAGAGCTTTTTCGGCTGGTGATCATTTCCTAAACGTTTGATCCAGGGTCGATTTTGTTGGGACAAAAATGTTGCTAATCAAACTAAGGGATCAAATGGTTAATAAAGATCCTTTTGACAAATTCATGCTATTTATCCAATTAGATATCATTGGTGTGAAAATAAGAAAAATGAAAATAGGAAAATTTTTCAATATTTTGCAAATAATTGTTTTCCCAATTAACATTATTTTGGCGAAATTTCCTTCGCGCATTTTAGCTCTTTTTTAAGACAAAAAAACATCTCAGAGAGTCGCCATCGAAAAGGTACCAAAATTTGCTCACTAGGATTCTATAATAATTATGACAACTGTTGTTTTGTTCACACGTCACGATCTACAAGAATATTGCGTGACGTTCTTTAGTAGTAGGTTCTTTGTATTAGAAGCGCAGTGGATTTCCTTTTATTTGACCACTTCTAATTCTCCTATCTCTTTTCTATACCACCGAAAGCTTAAACCTACAACATGAATAAACTGGAGGTGCGAAACACATATGTCCAGAAGCTCTAATCTGAGGTAATTCAATATTCACAGGCAAGCATTCCATATAATCTCAGTTTTTAGATTGACTTTCTGTCCAAGAGCCTCGCAAATATATTCTGGCACCTCCTGTAAATTAGACCTCTCTAACTAATTGTGTACTTGGAGCAATGAATGAAATACACTTCCTGTATCATCATCGTAGCTTCAGGGTTTTAATACAAAGCGGACTGTCTAGGTAATAAAAACACTTATTTCACGCCGATATCAATCAAATACTTCTTTGTTGAACAACTGCTGTTAGTGATAATAAACAAACAGGGCCAAAAAAAAAAAACAGAATTGAATTTAAAAGTTAGAAACAGCATGAATGAGAATTAAAATACGTAGAAAGAGGGGCGGCTGGCACTCCACTCAACGAACTATCGTTAAATACAGATTAAACAAAAGGTCATTATGTTTGACGAGCCCAAATGTGCGATTAGCGAAAGAATAAAAAGCCTGAAGCTAAATTTGGGCATTTTCTTTGCCATAATGAAGAGGAAAATCTAGATGTAGGACATAAACTTCATAAAACTCTTCGATCGGGAAAAGTATGAGGAATAATAGAGAGGATCCGTATATAGCGACTTCAGCGATGCCATGAGATTGCTGGTTACGTTACCAGAACAACGAAAAGATACGTACGTGCTGTAATCACTGATATCACAACCAAGCCGGACAGAAGAACGCGAAGGAACGTCAGAGGAAGCATGTTCTGTCCTCACTCCGTTGACTGCGAATGACACTAGTCTCTGACCATCAAGAAGTGGCAAAGTGGCAAGACAGTCCTAGGCTAAGAAGTCGTTCGTGTGCGCGCGCGAGAACTGAGCCTGAATAGCTCCTTGTGAAACTTGAGTAGCTGTCTTATAGTGTTATATCCATCCTATGGCCGGACGAGAGCGTAACACAACATACTTTTTCCTAAAAGAAAATTTTCTGTCTCCATTACCATTTATTTTCTGGTTAAGCGATCATTGTTGGGGAAGTGTAAAATGTTTACTAGAAGGAAGACAAAAGCAAAATGTGGTTATTCGAAATTCTTGAGTTGCTATTACTCACGTGAATGAAAAGCAGTGTTCCTCAGTGTCATGTCTAGCCATGGTTAATCATCCAACGCCTATGTAATAATCCATGTAATCAACAACCGTTGGTTTTGTTGATGGTTACGAACTTTGACTACTCAAATTCCGTTACACTGCTTTTCTAAAGCCCAGTAATAAACGAAGAAGAAAACAAAATTGATTTTTACCAGTGTGCAATTGTTTAATGATTAACTGATAAACGTCAAGGACTGCGAACTTGTCACAAGGGTCAGTTCATGAAGGAAAGAAAGCACCATTGTTTTACTTTACCTCGAAACGTACATAATTGCATGGGTTACATTCAAGGTCGCGTCAAGGGGATACATTTTTCAGATGACGTGTTGGAAACAAATTTTAGAAGGAACCAGTCATTCTTTCTCGCCTGCAAAGGGGAGGGGATCTTTTGGGATCACATGGTTTTCAATACAACAGAGGGGGAGGGGGGGAGGAGGACAGCCCTTATTGACAGGCGTTAAGAGAGAGACCACGAAAAAAAAGAAAATATTTGAAGCGATGTGATCAATTTTTTTAACTTTGTTTCTTGTTCAGACACGATTTAACATAATGAGATATTATCAATAGTTGTGTTTGAAATCTTTAAGTTCTATAGTTTAAATGTCCTCAAAGTTTCATGCTTTTAAATTCTCTCGAGTCATTGAGGGGCATCACCGCAGTGGGAACGTACGATAAATAAGCTGGTGCACTGTCATTACAAACAAACATAGCAAAAGTAAGAT